GTGTGTGTGTGTGTGTGTGTGTGTCACCCTCGGTCGACAGCTCTCTCCTACTCAACAGGCTGTCAGGACGCCATAGCAACCAGCCCACCTTTAGGTGATTACCACGCTCTGCCCCCACCTCACCCACGTCCCCCATCGGCACCCATGGAGAGTGCAGGTTGAACAAAATATTTTACCTTTCCTTGTTTCTGTGCAAGACCCCGAGAGGCCGTGTGAGCGCACGTTGTCATCCATATATGATGGAACATGATACACATGCTGAGCTCTGGACATTAACAGCTTCTCATTCTCGTCGCTAACGTGGGGCGGGATTCGTCACTCCTCGGATTTCCGTCGCCTTTTGCTTTTTCTCTTCTCCGTCGCTGGCATCAATCGATGTAATGAATGAGCAGGTTTATGAGCTCAACCAGTTAAAGTCGAATCATCGGATCATCGCCTCCTTCTTCTGCTGGAGCCTCGCCGGTCCTGCCGGTCGCTTGTTGTGACACCAGGTGCCGCGCGGCATTAAAGTTTGATCCTGTTCGTGGCTGAAAACGGGAAGAAGGGGCTGATTCAGCAAGAAGGTCCGTTCTGGTTTTACATCAACGAGGCGAAGTGTCCTTTCGCGTCCCACCTTCCTGTCGTACAACGTCGTCAGAGAGTCTCATCCGGAAGGCCAAGCGCTCATTGTGTGCTCGCAGACTCCCACCTAACGTCTGTGCTCCGCTTCACTCCCGCTGAAGTGCAGGAATCAGGAGTTTTCACGTGAAATCTTTTCCGCAAGAATTCTACGGCGGCCTGGAGTCTGACTTGCCGAGTGACTGCGCCGCCGCAGATATCTGAAGGCATCTAACGGCTGCAGCCTAATCTGTCAGCCCCCCCCACCTCGAACAACCCGCAAGAATGACAACAGAACAGTCAGATCGGCGGGTTTTCATTACAAAGAGTCATTTTGGACTTTGATACGACCCGTAAAACAAGGCACGGCATCTTGTAAATGTTGCACCTTGGTCACGGCCACACGCGCCAAACGCTCTCTATCAAATGCCCGTTTTGAGTTGCACCATCCGTTTGTTTCCATCAGACCGGCGAGAGAAGGGCGCGTGACCCGTGATCGGCGGAGAGGCCTGAGAGGAACCCTCTCACCCGAGCTGACAAAACCTACCAGCCACAGGTCGTCGTTTCAGCCGATAGGAGACGGGACGCAAACCTGTCCCGCGTCGCCGGGTGACGCGTTGGGACGGAAGCCTCGAGAGCAACGAGAACCAACTTGGTTTGCACAATAAACAGGTAAACACACACACACGCGGTCCCATGGCGTCTCACTGGTGTGCACCAGTGCATCCGTGCGTTTTCCAGTCCAGTGGATCTCATCTGTGACTCTCTCCCCTGCTGCCCGTTCACACTCCCACTCGCTGTGACCTCCGCTGTGGCGAAGCCGGGGGGGGTCCGAAGGCGGTGGGCAGGCCCCGTAGCCCGCTGGGGTCACATGGCCAGCAGGAGGGACTTTACTGGCGACAATGGTCCAAACTGTATTCAGGGAGGTGGGAGAAAATGAGAAAGGGGACGGCGGGGGACGGGGGGACGGCGGGGGGGGGGGTCTCTTTCACGCGCTCTCCTTCCGCCACAGACATCTGATTAAGTCGGCCGATCTTTGGCGCAGGGCCGCCGGTGTCACCGCGCTGGCCGACAGCAGCTTGTAGTTTCTAGACGAAGGTGTTACACGCGTCATTGCACACGGACCCACACAAACACACACAGACACACACAGACACACACAGACACACACAGCGCCACATGAAGATGAAGGCTATTAGGAATCAGCAGGCATGAAAAGAGTAAGTGGATATTTCATTTATATATATGAAGAGCACACTTAGATATAGTAAATAATTCGGGACATTATTAAAATCACAAAGTATAAATCCAGCTAATCTGAGCCAAAATGTAGACGTGCAGGTTCAATAATGCATCGAAATGATACAACGAAAAAACATTAAATATGACATTTCTCTACTAATATAACACATTGGCAGTAGTGAACAAAAAGTAGGACCAACAATCTGCATTTCCAAGATCTCAGCAAACAACGATTCCTTTAAAATTGTCGAATTAGTTCCGTGGTGTCGTGTTCTAAAGTGTAAAGTTTTTTGATCCTCTCCTTCTGGAGATGAATGCTACTTATGTCTCCTTCTAACACGCTCAACAGCAACGTTTCTCATGCAAATACTCAGAAATGATCAAATGAGATGATGAGAAATAAAAATATCCCGTCACTGACGCAGCAGCGGATGTTTGGGGGAAGAAAGCCAGCTGCGAGCTCACAACTACCCACCGTGGCGTAGAACTGGCTAAACATTTGGCTTAAATGGATGTTACCCGCCGATAAGCATGAGAGAAAACTACCAACGCTACAGACATGACGTCCTGAAGGAACAAGTTGCAGTAACCAACATTTTAAAGTCCCAAATGTCGGAGAATTGTCCTGCGCGCACAAGTTTGTGCGAGTTTGTCTCAGCGGGCTGCCGCGCGTGTGTGCGCTGTGATTGGCACACAATGCAGATGTGTGGGCAGCAGATGGCATCTGGAGAAAGCGGGAGTGGGCTGGTGGAGGAAGGGAACGGGGAGGTGTGTGTGTGTGTGTGTGTGTGTGTGTGTGTGTGTTCTCCGCCGCTTCACCCTAAAAAGAAATAGAAAAAAAGCCGATGGTTTTGACAGGGAGATAAAGGGAACGATGGGAGTGTAATCAATCAAAAACACTGTGACCGAAATAAAAGGAAGACAAGAGACACAATCCGCCCACTCGCACACTGTCCCGCCCGCCATCACAGCCCGACATTGTTGGGCGGCAAAACCTTTTTATTTTTTCTCATTTTTGCCATTGGTTGAAGAGATTGAAAGCAGCCCAGCAGGTGTCCCTCGGGCTTCTTCTTCTTCTTCCAAAGACACCCTCGCTTGCTCTCAGGTGGTGAAAACAGGGGAAGTCCTCTGGGGACGGGATCGGAATGGTTCAGAGGACGGACCCGTAACCCCACAAAGGAAGACGTGTCGCATCCCTCAGGAGACTCTCGTGGAGCCAAACATTTATTCATTCTTCTTGACCTTCTTGACCTATCACACGGAGACCCACGATGCGGATCCATAGCTGCCCTCGAAGACCGGCTACGAAGCTGCAGAAGCGTCCACAATGGCAACATCGCCCCCGATGAGGAAAGACCGGTTTCCCCGCATGGGCTTTAATAAACGTATCGTAGCCCAGTTCCGGGAGCCCGAGGTTGGTGTGGCGGCCGGAGTAAGACATGGGAACCGGAGAGCTTGGGATCTGCCAGATGTGCATGCTAGAGGCTACGGATAGCGTTTCCACACAAAGACACAGTCGTATCTTTTGTATTTATGTATGACTCTGCAATGAGCGGAGAAGAAAAAGGGCATTCAGTCACCTGAGTGTGAGGAAAAGGTCTTAAAGTCAGCAGAGATTTAAAATGAATGCGACCCTCATTTAAATGTTGAAGATATAGAGTCCGCGTAGCAGAGAGGAGAATATTAAGCGCCTCCGGTGACACATGTGATGGCGTTCTGTTTTTCACTTCCTGCCCTCGGAAAGGAGCAGGAAGCAATGCCGCGTAGGCAGGGATGGATTACTACACCCACTAAATGACTTTTGATGAGACACGTACAACAAAGAGGACACAGAGTTACTACTGAAAAACGAGACGACTAAAATGAACTTTGCAAAGAGACCAAAATAACCAAGAGATGCAAAAAGGCTGCAAAGAGACCAGCTACAAAACGCTTGGTGGCAGCAGATGGACTCAAAATGACTACAAAGTGACAGAAAACCACTATAAAGAAAGTGAAACACGAGGTGAAACTAAACAAAGCAACTGCAGGACAACAACACAAGCTTTTGATTTAAACTGCTTAAATACAACACAATTGAAAACTGAGAGTCGGGGCCTTTTGGACCCACAGGAAGACGCACTGTCATGAAGGTGCTGCTGGTGGTTGTGGAGAACCATCTCATGATGCACGCCCCCCCCACCCCCACCCTTCCTACCGCTGCAGCGGTCGCATCTCGTGGGACCAACAGAAGAAGACCTGTGTGGGAGGACACAAAGGAGCCGCAGCACCCGGGGGCAGAACCCCAGAACCCCAGAACCCCAACACAGCTGGCTTCTCTAGCACGCCGACAATGCAGCCTTTGTCCCGGAGCAAGGACTGAAGGCGGCATCCATCCCCGCGCACCCCTTCACCTACGCGGCTCCACAAACAGCAGGTCCGCTCCGCGCACCCCGTGCTGATGTACGAATCTTTGTGCTCATAAATACCCATAAAGGCTTGATAATAATAGATTGATAGCGAGGGAGAATAATCCAATAAAAAGCTCGCCGCCTATCATAAAAGAAGGCATTGTCGATTTCCTCAGAGTGCAATAGCGTGTAATGGTACGGAGGTCACGCTCCTGCGTGTTCCTTAATCCAATTCTGGAAGCAGAACAGGCGTCCACGCCTCCGCCAGGTGGCGACCGCGCTCCGATGCGGCGGCCTCGGAGCGCGCCGGATGAGCGGCAGCGCACGGAGGACGCGCACCGGCCGAGGAGCGGTTAGTCGTTGGCTGTTCAGTCCAAGTTGAGGAAGCTGTGCGTTTGCGTGGACCTCATTTCCCGATCAAAGCTCAGTTTCTATGTATGACATGCAAGCATTGTGACCCCCCCCCCCCCCCCCCCGCTTCCCCCCTCCGACCCCATGTTATTTGGCGACTAACGGAGTTTTTTTTTTTTACATCGCCTTAGTGCGTGGATGGTAAATGTGGAGCACTGCCACCATCTCCTCCCATCTCTGCCTGGTGTTTACTGGTAAACGACGGGGTGCGTATTCAGGAGGGGGGTGCATGGGGGGTGGGGGTGCAGTTAATGATTTAAAGCCCCCCCCCCCCTACCCCTACCCCTCATCCACTATACGTTTGGTGTGGATTGTCGGACTGCGCGTCAGAGCGCACATGAGAATAGACCCGCCTCTCTGCTGTTCGCTGTGCGCTCGTTGCGTCTCTCCTCTCTGTCCGCTTCAAACACATATTCCACTGGGAGGGAGAGAGAGAGGGAGAGAGGGGGAGAGAGAGAGAGAGAGAGAGAGGGAGAGCAGGACCTGTGAGAAGAGCAGCAAAAGAAAAGAGGAGAGGAAACACGGAACAACGACACAAATGGCACTCATGGCAGGGATTTTGTTCACGGCCACCTTTCTTGTTTTTGGGATTTCTACGTTTGTTTCGCCGGCACGGATATACCCCCCCAATGAAGGTACGGTTGAGAAACAAGACTGGCCGCGGGACTTCATCCCGCTCGGTCCCCCCCCACTCCTCTGTGCGTGTTTGGCTGCGGAGCCTCACTTCGTGGGCCCCTATAGTTGCGATAAGTAATGGGGGACAAATAACCGCCGACGGTCACCTTTACGCGCGGAGACTTTTTTTTTTTTTTAATCTGCGCGCAGCCGAAAGAGAAAGCGGCTCTCCAAAATGCGCATCGGCTGCTTCTCGGGCTCCGGCTCGTAGCTCGTGCCAGCTGCCTAACGGCGGGCAGCAGGACCCGCAGCCCCCGATACGCGCTGATCTAGAGGGGGGGTCAAGCCTCTCCCCGCTTAAAGACAAAAACTAACTAAAAAGACGTGAGACGAGGCCCGCTTGGCAGTCAGCGGGAGGCTCGCGACGCACCCGCTCGTCGCGGCTCGGTTTCCTTTTTTTTTTTTAGCGGAAGGTGATTATGGGAATGACAAGATAACGAATGGTTTTAAATGTACCGTCCGGTTCTCCGAAATTAAAGAACTGTTCCAAAAACATAAATTACTGCTCTTCTGACGTTTGCTTTTCTCCGATTCACGCGGACGTGGAGACGCGGAGCCCGGCGCGCGTGCCGCGGGGGTTCGGGGTCCGGCGGCCCGCCGCGTCCAGCCGTCCAAATGTTCCCGGAGTTCTTGCGCAAAACACCGAATACGCGAAGCACTTTATTTGGTGTAAAATCACGACCCGTCGGACGCGCCGGGGAGGGGGGGGGGGGGGGGCGGTGTGGGCTCGGCCGAGCGCGGTGACCCGCGTCCCCGGTGAAGACACGAAACACATGTTCCACATTTAAAAAGGATCAGTCCGCAGTCTCCCGAATAATTCATAACACTGACTTGCGTAACGGACTTATTTCTAAATCACGAGCGAGCAGCTGATTAAGCTGCACACCGAATTCAAAAAGCCCCCAAAAATAATGATTAAATAACCTCCATTTAGAGCCGACGCTTGAAGTAACGCTTCACGGACACGATGTTTTACTTTCTGCAGGACATATTTTGCAGAACGCGGGTCGGTCACTCGGGAGTCTTTTAAACTGCGTTTGTTCTCCAACCGCCAAGTTCATGCGCACGGCCCCCTAATTGGATCGAATCACGTCCAAAATGCCACATTTCACGAAGCACATTTGTCCTTTGCAACAAAGAAAACGTCCATATCTCAAGTGAAATCGATCGGAACGACGCGCGTTTAGTACAGCAGGGAATTACGCAATAGAACATATTTGTCCTGCAGTTTTCACTGTCTATGCGTACTGACATTCATCATGGGAAATATATTTAGATTCAGTATAACCACTTGTTTTGGGCGAAATCACAATAACCCATTTTTCCTGCCCCGCGTGTCCGATTTAAATGTGCCACAATGCCGACGTCTCACCGAGAATGCCCGCTCACTTCTCCCATTCTATGTTTTCCAGTCACGTTATTGGACTCCAGATCCGTGCAGGGGGAGCTGGGATGGGTGGCCAACCCCACAGAAGGAGGGGTGAGTACCGCAAAAGAAGTGTCCCCCTTGTTAGGACGCACGGCCCCCTGTTGAGCAGAAACGGGGAGATAATATCCATGTTTGGACCGACAAACAGACACACAGCACTCTTTAATAAGACTTTGTCCTGGTCAGCACTTTATGGTGATGATTTATTGTGCAGCTGTCTGCACTGTGGGGACATCAGAGGACATCAGAGGACATCAGGGCATCGTTTTCAGCGTCTTGCACTCAAAAAACGGGTAAATCAGTGTAGAGAGAGGGCAGACATTTCGTCGTACATATAGCGACTCTCTGGAACAGCCTCCGTGGCCCCATGGGGTCCCCCGAATCCACTTTGAGAACCACCGTTCTATTAGCGCCCCCCCCACACACCCTCAATCGCCAACCCCTGCTCCCCCCTTTGCCTCGCTTCCCTTCTCTCTAACCACTCCGCGATGGTCAGATGCAGGGGCCGATACTGCAGCGGGCGTCAGGTTTCCTGAATAGACGGCGGATTGAATCGGTCTTTGTGGAGAAACTTCATATCCCTTTCCACCATTGAGTGGAGGAGAGGGAGCGGGGGAGAGAGGGGAGTTGGCAGCCGAGAGAGAGGCTCCTCTTGAACGGGATGAATGAAGGGGGGGGTGGGGGTGCAGAGGGGTTTAGCTTGCCGCAGGACGAGTGGATCCTGCTGTAAAGCGACGAGGGGGCAACGGGTCGACCCGACGCGTGATCCCCGCGGTCTAATTGGTGTACCTACAGTGGCTGTGATAAGGGAGGAATATTGGGGCCCCCACGGTAGCCTCGGGGCAGGGACGGCTGGGGAAGGCCCTTGCCGTGCCAAAACCGAGTAAAAAAGCAATGCAGTGGGGGCCCACGTGGATAATTGTTCACATTGGATAAATGGCAGCGGGCTCCTCTATTACACAAATGTGATGCGCAAATGATCTTTTTTCATGTTTCATGAAAATTAATACAAATGAGAGACAATTGACTAATGAATAGGGAATAGGGGGGGGGGGGGGTAATTCCACCTTGTGCAGCTGTTGCCGGCTCTGCTCCTAAGCTCTCCTCTGTGAAACCTGGCCAGCGTTGGTTCCCCTCCCCCGTCCCCCCCCCCTCCCCGGTCCTCGCCGGCTCTATCACAAACAAGTTGATTGACAGGGTCCTGGCAGCAGCGCCGGCCCTGCATTCACCCCCTCATTACCACCAATTGGCCTTATTCTCCCACTTCCTCGCTATCGGCGAAAGGTGCTGCCTTATCTCAGCGCCGCTTGATTTCCACAACAAAGGGGGGGGGCTACGGGAAGGGAGTGGAATGGAACAGCAGGGAATGATAGACGTCTTCCCAAATCATACTGCCGCGGCGCTATGTATAGCATTACCCCCCCCCCCCCTCCTCCGGGGAAATAAGGCTTCAATCCAGATTGTTTATGATAAGGCGTCAAATCAAATCTGGCAGCGTAACCCATATCTTCCAGAGTTCCATTATGACTTCCCCCCCCCCCCCCCCCATTGGTACAGTTCTCTAAATGGTTGTAGCTGCAGCAGCCAAAGGCCTGTCTGCTCTTGTTTACAGCCCAGCTCGGTCAAAGACTCTATTTAAAACACACGGCGAAAACAGAACTCGCCGCTTTGAGCCTCTCAGGACGTGCTCGCATTCGCTCAACGAGGATCTGTTGGGGGGGGATTTTATCATAAGTAAAACAAACATCCCCTCCTGGTGAAATTAAAGCAGGCCCCCGCAGGATGGAGGGATCCGTGATCAGCGTCCCCCCCTCTCGCCCGTGAGTTCAGGTGCACATGCGTGCCGCTTGTCTCCGAGCGTCCGTCGCGTACGCTGAAGTAAAGCCGGCGCGCATCACATGATCAGCGTTGATTCTAGACCCGTTGGTTTTTGCAAACGCATCATGTTGTGTTTTTGTTTTTTGTTTCCTTTCCATGTGTGAAGACGCCATTGTACTCGCCACGTCATTTAAGTGGAGGGAGAACTAATTACAAATTACCTCTCCTGCGGTTTAGGGAAAGCCATGAATATTAATATCTTTATTATTCTATATTAGGACGTAACAAGTCTATTAGGTGCCATTCATAAAATATGCATTAAGTTTATCCATTAATAAATTTCTGTGCCGAGACTCAATATTGACTAATCTTTTTTGCATGCCCTTTTGCACCGTATCTCTCATTCTCGGCATGGATTGGCTCCCAGTTACGTGTGATACTTATACAAGCCATTTTAATAAGGAGAGCGTTTGTTTTTTATATTTCTCGCCTGTAACCTCGGTAATTAATTTGCAGGTTGAGTCAGAGGTTTAAGAATATCCCAGTAACGTTTATTTCTATTGTTCTGCTCCTTTCTTCAGTGGGAGGAAGTGAGCATTATGGATGAAAAGAACATTCCCATCCGGACGTACCAGGTGTGTAACGTCATGGAGCCAAACCAGAACAACTGGCTTCGCACTGACTGGATCCCCCGAGGCGGCGCCCAGCGCGTCTACATTGAGATCAAGTTCACCCTGCGGGACTGCAACAGCCTCCCGGGTGTCATGGGAACCTGCAAGGAAACCTTCAATCTGTACTACTACGAGTCCAACAACGACAAGGAGCGCTACATCCGCGAGAACCAGTTCGGCAAGATTGACACCATCGCCGCGGACGAGAGCTTCACCCAGGTGGACATCGGCGATCGCATCATGAAGCTGAACACGGAGGTCCGGGATGTGGGGGCCTTGAGCCGAAAGGGCTTCTATTTGGCCTTCCAGGACGTCGGAGCGTGCATCGCGCTCGTCTCCGTCAGGGTCTTCTACAAGAAGTGCCCGCTAGCGGTGAGGAACCTGGCCCAGTTCCCCGATACCATTACCGGAGCCGACACCTCCTCTCTCGTGGAAGTTCGTGGCTCATGCGTGGATAATTCAGAGGAGAAGGAGGTTCCGAAGATGTACTGCGGGGCGGACGGCGAGTGGCTGGTGCCCATTGGGAATTGCCTGTGTAACCCCGGATACGATGAGCGCAATGCAGAATGCCAAGGTAAAGGATCGCCATTTGTTTTTGGGGGCTTTTCCCTCTGCATAGATCCGTCTACCTTTTACCTCCTGCCTTTCTGTCTTTGTGTCTTTATTCTGTATGTTTGGTTTTATTGTTCCTTCCTCCCTCCATTCAGTCAACTCTCTGCAGTCTTCTATCCGGTGTCTGGCCGGCCGATAGAAGCAATGATGATTGTAACTGGGGTAATTAGCAGGCCCACTGGGAGGTGTCGTGCAATGGGATGTGTCCCAGGAGAATTGGTTGACACCGGAAGATTAAGGGTAGGGCTCCAACTGGTTTGCGCTACCTCGGCGTCTTTCAATCCCACCCGTTCTTTCTCTTATTCCCAATGGAGGCAGAAGCTGGGAAAAAGAGATAGACGGCTTTAGAGGAAGGCAACGAGATTGGAATGAGTTTATCATTCCGAGCAGGTATGAGAAGAATGAAAATACACAGCTGTGAGATGGGGTTGAAATAGTGCTATTTGGTAGGGGGGAGGGGGGGAATAGCCCTTTCGTGGACAGCTCTTCTATTCTCAGCTCGACATGATCCCGCAGCACGCTGTTTGATGAGGTTTGAAGGTCCCTGCCTTTAAATCAGGAGCATGTTAGAGCCTGCAGCCTGTTTTCGAATTCAGAACATTGCCCTGAAAATGCCCATTCATCCCTACCAATAGATCTTTGCTTCGAGGCTCTTGCAATACATGGCATTTTTGATTGATTTCCCCCAGAATTTAACTTGCTTGTTGTTGGATCGCTGTTCATTGCATGCAGCAGGGTAGTGCGGATAGCGTCTAGCAGTGGTCAGCAGCCGTTTTGTGGATCACATGCAGCATTTTGCCAAGTCGAGGCACAGTTGTCAGCCGGCCAGACCAACGGATGCCAAATTCTGCCCAGGATGGTTTATTGGTAAACCCCCATTTGCCACACAAAAAGCAGTGAGAAACAGCAGTCGGGGGGTCAGAGGCTGGGCACGGGTGATTAACAGGGGGACGAACCACTACACCTCTCCTAATTTACGACGGAGCCTTTATCACGGAGGACTAATTGCATGACAAACGGGTCTGGTGATTTAGGGGTACCATTAGTTGCTAGGGGGGGTGGTGAGGTGAAAGACGTTTGAGAGAGGGGGACCATGTTCGGGGTCTCCTTTAGTCTGTAAGTGTCTTTCTGTCATGCGGAATTCTACCGTCTCTTGTTTCAAATCCGAATAAGACCCTGATCTCATACTGAATACCCAACCAGCATCGAAATAGATGCCTTATCTCTTCACGTTAATTTGAAATACATAGTCGTTCCCCTACCAGAGAAGGCAATAAAGGAACCGGGATTTTACATTTGATGTGGCTGCCGCGGTCTCGTAGTTTCTGCCAGGATGGCTTTTCAAGCCAATACGTCCATTTAGTTCACATGTTGCAGCCTCTGCTTTAGTTTGTTTCAGTATACACCCCCATCGCCGCCACTCGATTCTCTTCTTAGCTTCAATTACGCTGTTTCAGGAGTTTTCCCCCTTTTCTCTTCCGCCGGGGAACCTGATAGCTCGCGCTGGGTTTTGACGCTGCACGCCGTCCGCCCGCGCGGGTCAGATCCAGTGGCCGAGAGGTTAAAAGGTGATGGAGGCCACTGTCAGACCTCAAGTGCACTGATGAGCCGGTTAATATTCCACAAAGTTATCGGCTCCGTGGGAGAGGGGCCATGTTGACAGAGGGACATTTTTGGGGGGGGCAGGGCGCCTTTCAGGGGAGACTCGTGTGCGTTCATATTTTCTCTTGTCACGTATCTAATAATAGTTTTAAAACGTCTACTAAACAGTTTGATTGGGTTTGAAAACCTCTCTTTTTAAAGGGTTTCTGTGGTGCACACAAGCTCAATTGTGCGCTCTCGTGCATGTGTGTGCCTGTGGTTGCCTTGTGTTCGTGTGGGGTTACAAGGGCACCTTGGCCCCTGGTTCCCAGCCCAGGATGAATGGGCTCTCCTCCATCATTGTTTGGGGCAGCAGTGGAGCCGGCTGAGGCTGGCGATGTTTGGAGGGAGTTCGGTGGGGGGAGGGGCGACGGGGTTAGGTTTAGAATTGTATTCTCCACCCCTGGCAGAGGTCAGGGGTCATCCCCTTCTGCATCCATCTTTGCGTTGCGTCCGACAGGGTCTTGGATCCAGGATTGATTAAGACGTCAGGATTTTGACAGCTGTGTGGTGGGGGGGGGGGGGTGCATGTGTGTCTGTGCTCGAGGGGGGCCCAGGGTGGGCTAAACCTAAGGGCCAAGGTTGGAGGGGGCAAACAGAGCCCCCCGGGGCCCTGATCTAAGGAAAAGGGGGGGGGCTCTGTCTGTTTGCGTTTGGGATCCCTTTCACTGTTAAACACCTTCCCCCCTTGCGCTCTGTTGTTGAAGGTTTGGGGGTCAGGGAGTCCCCTCGCTCCTCATCTGGTGGGGGTCCCTACTGAGGAAGGGGGTGTGGGTGTTGATGAGGAGGGATTAGTGAGAACTACGTAAGTCATTATGGGGGAATGATAATCGCCTCGACTGTTTGCTTCCTCGGCGGAGAAACGCTTCTGCCGAGCCGCCATGTGCGTTCTCACGAATTTCATCAACTCTCAAGTTGTGTGTGTGTGTTTGTGTGTGTTTCCTTCGCATTATATTGTTATATTTGTCGGCACTTTTCACAGCAAAGGATGCCAGTTCATGGTTGAGCTGTTGACTTATAATCACCAGCAATCAACACACACCCACACACACACACACACACACACACACACACCTTGTTGGTCGCTGACATTGCTTCAGAACAACTGAACCGAGTTCACATTTTTATCTCCTCGTCTTTTACATCTGAACTGTTTTCTTATATGGAGTCTCGTGTTTTTAGATAAATGCAGCAATCTCAGCCTCCCTTTTCACCCCTTTGATGCGTTTATGTGTGTGTGTGTGTGTGTGTGTGTGTGTGTGTAGATAATGACTTAGGGCCTGACCGTGATGTCAGAGTGGAATCGGAGTATTTTCTCACCTGTGACCACCCCCCCCCCTCTATTCCCAGCAGTCTTTACCAAGCTGGAAAATCTCATTCATAGTGGATTAAGAAGGTTTTAGGGATGAAGTTTCTCTCCTGTGTGTTACTCATTGTGTGTGTGTGTGTGTGTCTGTGTGTGTGTGTGTGTGGGTCCCCCCCCCCAACACACCCCCCCTCTGGTGACAGTGTTTAATATTGCGCTTGGGAGCATCGTTTTAAATCATCAGCTTACTTGAATTATACCCTGCGGTCCCCCATGGGATTTGAAACACTGGGCTCAAAACCCAGATACTTTCTCACCCCACATTGCTTTTCGTCCCCTTCTCCCCCCTTATTATTTGCAATCACGCCAAATAAAATATTGCATCCGCTTCGCCGACTCGGTCGCCTGCTCGTTGTTTTGTCTCTCCATGTCTTGCGTCTCCTCACACTTCCTGTTGCTTCAATGTCTCTTCACACGTCTCTTTCTCCATTTTCCTGCTGAGTTTCTGCAAACATTTTTGCACGTTTTTGTTCAGTCCTTTATAGCCCCGTCCCCCGTCCCCACCCCCCGCCCCCCCGCTACGACCGCCGAGGTGGTTACTGTCTCTGGTGGCAGCAGCAGGAAGTGGGCTGCATAATGACATTACCGTTTACCTTTGGGGAGGGAGGCACATGAACAAATCACCAGCTATCATTGAAGGATCTCTCCTACAACAGGAACCACACTTGTACTATTAGGAGACCCGTTAAGAAGTGGACCCACGGACATTCCTAAATATGTGTAGCAGATGCCGGGATGCTCCAGTGCGCGCGCACACACACACACACACACACACACACACCACTGGTCACCAGAGAGGCTCATTTTGTGCTTTCTGAATAGTTGAGGAATCAGGAGAGCAGGAAAGAACACAAGAAAGAGAGGACGAAATGTCTCACCAGTGCCCCCCCCCCGTCCCCCCGTCCCCCCCTTCCTGCTGAAATAATTCCGTTTAAAGTTTAAAGTTAAAAAAAAAAAGTCCTCTCAACACACCGGCGCCGGTCGGTAATTCAGCCGCCATTAGCCGAGGTGCTGAAGGGTTTTTTCCTGCCTGAGCGGCCGTCCGGCTCGTGTTTGTTCTCCCAACACTCGTCGCCTCTCTCGCTTCTCCCGCCGGCGGCGCGGCGTGCAGGAAGCCGCTCGCCGTGGAGCCGGACGCCGCTGCTAGCAGGGACACGGGTAATTTAGCGTTGAAGCTAATCCAGAGGGGTTTTCAGGGTTTTTCTGGAGCAGAGTGCTTTATTCTATATAGAAATAAGAAGAGTCATCCAGGCAGTTTTGGACATGAGACCAAATAATAATATCTGCGGATGGAGGGTGAAACATCCTGACGTCACAGTGCTGCAGAAACGCACAACGTTTAACGTAATGTGAAACTAATGTTTAGGTTGGTAGAACAAAGATTAGCCTTTATGTTATTACCACACAAGCTCTGACAGAATGCTAAATACTTACTCTGATTTCTTTCGATTACACGTTTTTAATGGCGACTGCCTTCATTACTGCATATCCCCAACAAACCAGACATTTCATATATTCATATCCCTGTTTTGGGGGGAGGTCGGGGGGGCATTTGATTCTTCCGCCAATCTCAAGCGATAGCGCGCGAGCCTGGAAGCCGGCCTGCCACCGCGAGGCTAACCTGGGGGGCGCTAACGCCGTCAGCTGGCGCGAGGATCGCGTAGCTGTGGACGTGTCAAAGCGAGGGGGATGTAAAAGGATGACGAGACGTCTCCTGTCCATCTCTCCTCTGCTCTCTCATCTTTTTGAAAATCATCCTCTCTTTGAAGCCCGTGATGGGAAGAGGGAGCGATTAAAGCAGTCAGCTAGCAAATTAGCATGTCAAAAGGCCCCCGGATCAACGCCCCCAGCTCTCTACCAACACAACCCCGGAGTCCTCTCGTCCCCGCCGCCCCTCCACCGGCTGCTTCCCTCCTTCTGCCTCCATTTTCTCCTGCGCCCCTGCACACTCCCCC